AAGAGACTGAGGCAGAGGGACACTAAGTTCCATTTCTGCCTGGCTACACTGAGGAGGATTAGAGGGGGAGCAGGTAAGCTCACAAGGACAAAGGAGGAGCCTTTGGTGTGTGCCACCACCGCCTGGCGCGTTTGTGCTTTTCTAAGCAGGGGAGGCAGTGTTGTGATGAGTGATGAGCGATCTCAAAAGGCCCTGTGGTGTGGAGCCAGGCGAAAAACAAGGCTTGGTCAGAATACGGAGCCACGTGATGAAGGCAGCAGGGAGAACATTCTGTAGGTTTGGAAGAAGAGCGGGGCTTAGGGAATCCTTTTTTGGAAGAATGTTAGGCAAGCTCCCATTCTATACTCCAGGTTGGGTTGGAACGGCCGGCAATCCTCTTGCCTCAGCCTCCTGCATGAGCCACTGTGCTCAGTTTCTTGATCATTCTGTGTCCCCACAGCCCAGTGTAAGGAACACGGGATGTAAAGGAACGGCAAGGAAGCTGAGGAACACTACGGTCACAGGCCCACACCCACCTAGGCTCCTGCAGCACACATACACACAAACCACCTGCATACTCAAGATGCTCACCATGGGCTTGTCGTAGAAGGGGAAACCTTGCATGGAACGCAGGGCATTAGTGGCGCTGCTGACCTCCTTGAAGATGACAAAGGCCTGGCCCCTCATCTTCAGGCTCCGAGACACCAGGATATCCAGGATCTGGCCAAACTGGGAGAAGATGGCATACAGGGACTTCTTGAGCTCTGCATTCAGGGAAGACAAGACACACTGTGACAAAAGGCCTGGGCACTGTGTCCTGGGATTTGTACTATCCTTAGAGAATGGACAGCCCAAATGAGGATCCACCTGCCAAGTGACACAATACCCAGAATGCTACAGCTCAAGAACCAACAATTGCTGGGTAGTGGTGGCACACACCTTTAATCCCAGCACTTGGGAGGCAGAGGCAGATGGATCTCTAGGAGTTCAAAGCCAGCGTGGTCTACAGAGCGAGTTCTGGAACAGCCAGGTTTACATAGAGAAACCCTGTCTTAAAAAAGCCAAAAAGGAAAGAAAAAAAAAAAAAAAGGACCCCACGATAAGAGAGACAGCCTAGAACTACTCAAGTGGACATGTTCACATGACCCCAAGCTGCAGTACCTGCTCTACACTCGCTGTTGAAAAAGCAAGCACAAGTACTTCTCGCCATCAGGTCTCCCGCTAAGATGGCCTTCAGTCCTGTCTTAAGCAGGATGTGCCTTTTTTAAAATTTGAGATGGAGTCTGATTCTAGAACCTCAAACTCTGAGCAATCATCCTGCTTCGGTCTCTGAATTACAAGCATGACCTAGTCTCTAACCACACCTTAGCCTTTGCACTCTCTTCATGGAATGTCCTTTCCCTGACGTTTCCAAGACTGTCCTCTTCTAGCCCCTTCAGTTTCGACATAATCTGCCACCGCCAAGAGGCCCTCTCCAACTGCACTGTCTACATGCCCCTCTTGTTCTCCTTATCCTGCTTGTCTTCCCTCCCCCACCTGACGTCAGAAGCTCACTTACTGACAATCTCTAACAGCTACAGGCCTGTGATGGACATGATGGCCTATGGCTAAATCCCAGCACTCAGGAGCTCAAGGCAGAAGGATCAGGTAGGCACTGGAAGTAATTCTCTGCTACACGGTAAGTTTGAAGCCAGCCTCTGGTACATGAGACCATCTATAAAAACAAAACAGCTGGGTATGGTGGTTATGTATTTAATCCCAGCACTCAAGAAGGAAAGGCCAGCCCGGTCTGGTCTACATTGAGATCCAGTCCAGCCAGGGCTACATGGTAAGACCTTGTCTTTAAAAACAAAACAAAGCTGGGTGGTGGTGGCGCATGCCTTTAGTCCCAGCACTCGGGAGGCAGAGGCAGGTGGATCTCTGTGAGTTCGAGGCCAGCCTGGGCTACAGAGTAAGTTCCAGGACAGGCTCCTAAACTACACAGAGAAACCCTGTCTCGAAAAACCAAAAAAACAAAACAAAACAAAACAAAAAGCAGCAAAGCTATAAGCCCAGCCCAGTGAGATGTAGTAGTGATACACATCTTTTCTGATAAGGTTTCTCTGTGTAGCCCTGGCTGGCCTCAAACTCAGAGATCTACCTGCCTCTGCCTCCTGAGTGCTGCGATTAAAGGTGGGCACACATCTTAATCCCAGCACTCAAGAGGCCAGCTCGACCCTGTCCAAAAAAAAAAAAAAAAAATCACTGAGGAATGAGCCACCACGAAGTGCTTTAGCAAGGTAACTTCATTAAATCCTTACAACTCCATAAGGCAGTATCATTCACACAGTAGCTCCAAGGCTTGGACAATTTAGAGACACCAGCCGTTTTTCTGGCACTCCAGCTCCACACCCCTTTTCAACACTTCTCAGACTGTGTCTTACTAAGTTGTTCAAGCTACGCCTGAACTATTCTGTGGCCCTGACAGATGTCGCGTTTGGAATCTGCCTGCATGGGCCTCCACAGAAGCTGGACTTCAGTCCTATGCCCGCACGACACATTTTCCAGTATTCATCCCCAAGCGGCAGCATCTCGGCTCCCTTCACACACAGTGGCTGCCCTTCCCAGCCCTAGGGAACAGAAGGAACCCTCTGCTTTACTGTGAGTCCTGTTTGCTATGGTGCGAAGCAGTTTAGAGGCTGGTGGTGCTGGATCCACGGAAATTGAACTGTGGACCTGGCTTGGCCAAACCCTTCTCAGTGTCCTCAGGATACGTGCTCCAGGCTGGGGCACATTTATTTACTCTGTGTATGGTAGGGGGTTGGGGTGGAGACAAGGAGTGGGGAGGGAGGAAGGGAGGGAGTAAGCACACAGGCGAGACGATGACTTTCGAGAGTCGACTCTCCTACCACTGAGTCCCAGGAACTGAGTGAGTCTCCTGCCTCTGCCCTCAAATGGCCAGAACTCCTTTTCCTCAATCACTACCCCTGCTGAACTCAGCCCCAGCAAGTTCATGTGGCACACACGTGGAAGTCAAAGGATGTTCTCCTCCCACGGTGGGACCTGGGAAAGTCAGACTTGGCAGCAAACATGCTTACCAGCAGAACCACCTTTCAGGTCCTCTCCTGACCGTTTTCCCAGGCGGCCCTATAAACTAGTATTTACCCTCCACTAACTTCGGAATACCACTTCCAAAAAGTTACACGCAAAGGGGCCAGTGAAATGGTGGTAGGGCTTCCACTTCACAAGCCTTGTGACCCTGACCGTGACTTCAGGAACCCACAGCGGAACGAGAACAGCCGCCCTAGCTAGAGTTGTCCTAATCAAACACGTGCATCCACATTTACAGACACAAAATAAATACAGAAAAAGACGTACTGCTGCTTCCTTTCCACATGTGCGCTAGAATCCAGCCTTTGCAGAAAAGTGAACATTCTACCCCTGGGCCTTCCTTACTCCCAGGCAAGAACTGAATTATGTGGTGGAGGTTTTGTTTAAAAATGTACAACCTTTAAAAAATATTTTTATTTTATGTGTGGGTATTTTGTCTGGAGAATCCAGAAGAGGATGTCATGTGCCCTAGAACTAAAGTTACAGACAGTTATGAACCTACCTTGCGTGCTGGGACCCAAACTTGGGTCCTCGGGGAGAGCAGGCAGTGCTCTTAACCACTGAGCCATCTCTCCAGGCCAAGTATGTTTCTTATTTGCTGAGGTTCAAACCCAGAGCCTTACTCATGCTAGGCAAGACTAACACTAGTTCCAACCCTCAATCCTTTCAGAGTCAAGGTCTTGCTATGGAGCCTAGGCTGGTCTGTAACTCAAGATCCTCCTGCCTCAGTCTCCTGAGGACTGGGGTTACAGGCCCCCACCACCATACCCGGAGAAACTGTCTTTGGGTTTTTTCACTTGTTCTGATCATGCAGCCCAAACTGGCTTCGCTGCCACTCTCCCTAAGTAACAGATTTATGGCCTCTGCCACCCAGCCCAGTCCGAGAATTTGCTTAACCAGTGTCCCACACTTATGTCCCAACCATTTTTCTTCTTATCTGATCTCAAGCAAGTTATGCCACCCAAATTCCAATTTCTTAATCTGAGAGGCTTGTGAGAATTAAATATATCCAAGACTACAGAATCCTGTATCCATCACCCACGTTACATAGCATTCACTGCTCATCACTTCTGTTATCTGCACGGTAGCCAGTCACTAAGACCACCACCCAGAGGCCAGTGACAGAGAGCGTCTCCATGATAGCAGATTGACCTGGGCTTGATGGAGAAAAAGATCCCCAAAGGTTTCACAGAAAGAAGGGACCGGTGAGTGAAAACTCTGAAGATTATCAACAAAGCGCAGGTTAAAGAGCAGAGAGTGTAAGGGGTGGTTAAGGTGTGTTGGAAACCAAGGACTCCGTATGTACAAAGGCCAAAGTTAACTCTTAACAGACTGAATGGGGACGGCTGAGAAAGAAAAATGGATGTTAGAGGTGTTGGGGGTGAGCTCATGTGAGATCCCCTAGAGTACAGGCTATCCCGAAACTTACCATCCTTCTTGATCTTCTCATTGAGATTGTTGATATAAATAGTGTGGTTGGGACGGGTTTCAGGAACTGCCATGGTGTGAGATGCTCAGGGACAGCTTAAAGGGAGAAAAAGAGGCGACTTCAGCCCTATGTTTCCCAAAACTCTTTGTTCCTAAGGGCTGGTAGGCTCTGCTCAGGGATCCTTTCGAGAGGAAGTTGGGTAAGATCGGAACTGGGGAAGGATGGCACAGCTTGGCAACAAAGCCAGCGCAGGACTCCGCTTCTCCAGCCCGCGTGCTAAGGGGATCTAGAGGGAAACTACGGATCCCAGAATGCTCTGCGAGTCCTGGCAGGCGGAGCGTACCAAGCGGCGATTCCCATTAGTCCACGCGCGCGAACGGCGTCCCGGAGGGGAAAAAGAGCCCGGATGTCGGCCGGTTTAGAAAGTAGGGACCGATCTGGGACATCCTAGTCTCTCAGAAAGAGGTCTCTCGAAGTGACGCCGCCGAAGGCCCGACGCCAAGTGCTCCACCCGCCTCCCCGGCGCCAAGGGCCGTCTACACGCGCGAGAATTCGCTACCTGAGCCACCGCGCCGGCCACGCGACCCCGCTCAGCCACCCGGCCGCCTCCTCCACGAGCTGCTCACCGCGCGCAAACGCGGTAGGTGGACTGTTTGCAGTAAGTCGCTTCCCCGGCCTCAGCGCCTGCCAATGAAAGGAACGCTTGGGTTCCCGCCGTAGTGATAGTCCCCGCCCCCTCCCAGAGTGGGCAGACCAATCAAAGAAGGCGACGAGCTTCCGGCCAATCGGGACATGGCCAGAGCTCCAGCGCTTGCCAGACTGCACGTCTAAGCCACACCTCTTCCCCTTCCGCCCCGGCCTTTGGTCACGTGGTCGTCCAGCAGCGTGGTACAGGTTGCTGGTTCGATCACGTGGGAGGAGAAGGGGCGGTGGAGCCTGACAGGGTCGAGGCCGTTTGCTCCCGGCGGGAAGTGTGTAGAAGTTCCTAAGTTCCGTTCCCTAGTCGAGCGGTCCAGCGACTTAGTCCACCCGTGATCGCTGAGCTGTTGCAACTCTCGTACTTCCCGGCCGATTCCAGGACCCTGCCCACCGCTAGGCTGTTTTCCCTGACACGTGCCTTTTTTAACCTCTTGACCTCTAGCTCCTAAGGTCAATTATAACTTCAAATTCGAGCCAGGGGTGTGAGATGAGGCAGGTCACCCCACACCACACCCCAGACGCCTCCTTTTTACAGAAGTGACCAATACTAGCTAGCTCCCAAATTTCCCTCCTAATGTAGCCACGGCCCCACCCTTCAGGATCCTTCATCCTTTGATGTAACCCAGTTTCTGTTTCCACTGCTTCAACCAGGTTCCCCCAGACCAACTGGTCAGGCACCGTATTCTGCAATTCAACTCTAATTTTTACTTTATTGGTTGGTTGGTTGGTTGGTTTTTCGAGACAGGGTTTCTCTGTGTAGCTTTGGAGCCTATCCTGGAACTTGCTCTGTAGACCAGGCTGGCCTCGAACTCACAGAGATCCGCCTGCCTCTGCCTCCCGAGTACTGGGATTAAAGGTGTACACCACCACCGCCTGGCTTATTTTTTTAATTTTTAATACAGATTTCTATGTGGAGGCCTGAATACCACATCCAGTTGCTCTAAAAACTTAGATCTCCATCCGTGAGAGATTTGGGAGGATCGTATTATTTGCACATCAGCTCTTCCTGAAGACTCCACATGACTTCTCCATGCTCCTTCCCTCCAAAACCCACAATCCCTCCAATAATCCACGAGCCCCAAGACCCCAACATTCCACCTCCTTTACCCCCAAGTCCCCTGGACTTAGCTTTGCCACCCCTTCCCTGTAGTCTCCAGGCTTCTGTTCCACCCCCACCCCCACCCCCACTGCCCCCTCCGCCCTCTGCTGTGGAGGTTGTTCCTCATGTCTACGGCCTGGAGAAGAGCCAGCTCCTGAAGGAGGCCTTGGAGAAGGCTGGCCCAGTCCCCAAAGGCAGAGAAGATGTGAAGAGACTCCTGAAGCTGCACAAGGACCGGTAGGCTCTCCAGACCCTCAACTCCACCCCAGGTCTCATCCAACCACCTGGGTTTGCAAATCACTTCAGCCACCCTGTCTCCGGGGTTCCCATTTCCTTGATCTCAAACAGCCAGGTGCCCTAAGTCCTCTGCCTAGCTCTTCAGTGGTTGGCCTCCAGCAATAGAGAGAGCAGCTTCTGCACATTCCTGGTTCTGAGGCAGAGGCCCGATGCTTCTGCCCCTCCAGACAGTGACTCCCAGATTAGCCAAGGTTGTGATAATAGGGCCCAAAGAAAGTGTGTAACTCAGTGGTGGCTTCTGAAAGAGAAGCAGCTACAAATGCTAGTGAGTGAGCAAGTTATGGAGGCCTGTGCCGTGAGAGCAGGCAGCATCTATAGTAAAGATATATGTGTTGTTTTCAAAGAACTAGCAAAGAGGAGCTGGGAAAGTAGGCAAGCAGCAGCCCACACCAGTGTGGCAGGCTGGATGAAGGAATTTGGACTGTCCTGGGGCCTCTGATGAGCCAGGGAAAGGCTTTGCTCAAAAAAGGACTGCTGTTAGGACTGGAGGTCATGAATAGAATTCAAGGTCTCAGGAAGAAATATGATGTACCCAGGGACACAGGCAATCAGGGAAGAGGGTAGAGAAGAGACCACAGGCCCCTGTCCAAACTGATAAACTCCCAGTGCTTGGCATAGGGGCACATGACTGTTATCCCAGAGCTCAGGAGGCTGAGCAGGAGATGAGTTCCAGGTAAGACTGAGCTACATAGCGAGACCTTGTCTTGGAAGAAAGGGTGGGAAGGAAGGGAGGAAGGAAGGAAGGGAAGGAAGAAAGGGAGGAAGGGAAATTCTTAAACTCCCCAACCACACTTATAAGGCACACCAAGTGCCGCAGCCACCATTATGCGACTGAATGCAGACACTTGTCACACCTGTCATACCACATAGGTAGTATATGTCAGATTAAAAGGATTTGTTTACTTTGCTTTACTTTTTTGTTGTTTTTGAGATAAGGTCTCATGTAGCCCAGGCTGACCTCAAACTCTATGTAGCTGAGAACACCTGTTCCTTCTTCCTCCACTTCAGAAGATGACAGGTATATATTACCACCACCAGATGTTTAGTGGTGGTGGTTTGAGACAGGGTCTCTGTATGTAGCCCAGGCTAACCTGGAATTCACTATGTAGACCAGGCTGGCCTGGAAATCACAGAGATCCACTTTTCTTCCCCCTCCAAAGTGCTGTGATTAAAGGTGTGCACTACAATACTGGTCTTTTTTTTTTTTTTTTTTTTTTTTTTAATTTTGATCCAGTGTCACACTCTAGCTCAAGCTGACCAAAAGTCTATATAGCCCAAGCAGTCCTGGCAACGTGAATTACCATGGTTGACTGAGTTTTTTTAATATTTGTTGCTCTCAGCAACCTCACAGAACAGGAACTGTTACTTTCCCGTTTTCTAGTTGAGAAAGCCGAGACTCTTAGAGGGCTAGAAAGATGACTCAGTGGTTAAGAGCATCCTCTGCTCTTGCAGAGGACCTCAGTTCCCAGCACCCACATGGTATGACATAACCATAACTCCAGATCTAGAGGATCCAGCATCTCTTCTGGCCTCTGGGTATCCACAGAGGTGGCATACACTCACATACACATAAGTCAAAGTAAATCTAAAATGAAAGAAAGCTGAAACTCTTAGGGGCAGTCACTTAGCCACAGTTCAAAGAAGGGAGAGGTCTCCGTTTGAATTCCAGTAGGGGATTTGGTGCTTCTGCCCTGCTGTAGTCAGGATTATCTCAGCCGAGAACCTGGAGCTTTGTGTGTTCATCCTGTGTGTGAGCATCCCCATCACCACCCCTGGCTTTGCCCTCCCACTGGCCTTGGAATAGAAAAAGCAAGCATATGACCCTAAGCCTTGAGCGACTGAGATGACTGAAACCGTGTGGCTACCTCAGGGCAGGGCTGTTCAGGCCTGCTCAGATTCATCAATGCAGTGATTTCTTGGGCCTTAAGCATATTGTCACCTGGTTTTGCTCAAGGCTGAATTAAATCTATTTAATTGTGTCTATATAGGTATGCTACAGTGTTTGTGTATGTGAGGTCTGAAAACACCTTGCATGAGTCAGTTCTCTCCTTCCCACAAGTGGCTCCTGGGACTCCAACTCAAGTTGTCAGGCTTGGCAGAAGGCACCTTTATCCACTGAGCCGTCACACCAGCCCCTGGTGGGGAGAATAATCAGGCACTGGTCATGGTAGCACGCCTTTAATCCCAACACTGGGGAAACTAAAGCAGGGAAATCGCCATTGGCTGGAGGCTAGCCTAGGCTTCATTTGGAGATAATGTCTACAAAAAAAGAGAAAAAACCTTAGCATTTGGGTATAAAACATACCACCTTCTAGAAACTTCCTCAGGTAAATCTTTATGACTCCTGGTTGCACAGGTTCTGCATTTGCTCTTTGTCTTTCAAGCCCTCTGAGAAGCAGCAAGAAACAGGCAAAAGGATAATTCCCACCTCCACCCTCAGATGAGAAAGCTGAAGCTTTGGGTCACTGCCTCAGCAGGGGAGTGGACCTGGGGCCTTAGGATGGCTCAGTCTCCAGGGAGTGAGTTCAGAGCTGTTCCCTTGTGACTTATCATTGTTCTGCTTCAGGTTTCGAAGTGACTTGCAATGGATCCTCTTTTGTGCTGACCTACCATCCCTCATCCAAGAAGGCCCTCAGTAAGTGCCCATTGCCCTGATGTAAGAGGGCCCTGCCACTTTTCTACAGCCAAGCTGGCACTGTGGGACAAGCACCTCCCCCCAGGCATCCTGGGGAGGAGAGAGAAAGCAGAGCATTTTCCACATCATGGTGTGTGTGTGTGTGTGTGTGTGTGTGTGTGTGTGTGTGTCAGTCACAGAAGGAACGTTCAAGTGAGTAAGTGAATGAACCCCAGTGAGTGCACAGATGAGATGGTCCATCTGTCCATCTCCTCTCCACTTTGGCACCTGTTCCCAGGAAGCCCAGGTTTGTCCCCACCTTCCAGCCTGTTCTCTCCACCTGGCATGGGAGGGGAGGCGAGTCCTCTAGACGGCACACCTCCCCTCCTCTGAGGTCAGGGGAGTTCAGTAGAGACATGGCATGCGCTGCAGAGTGGGCTGTCCCTCCCAGGTGTGGACTGGTGGCCTTGTGGATGGCAGGCACTCTTCTGTCAACTCCTGACAGCGTCTCTCTGCAAAGACTGGTGCAGGTAGCCATGGAGAGAGGCTACACGGTGCAGGGAGAGATGTTCTCTGGTGAGTTGCCTGGGAAATACCTCAAGCCCTAAGTTCCACTGGCTCCTCTCTAGGCCAGCTAAGGCACTGAAGATGCATGAAGGGATCTCATTCCCTCCTCCTGGCCTGCCTCCTTACAGTAGAAGACCAAAGTTGTTACCAGGAGAAGTCAAACCATTATTATGGCAAAGTGATTAAACAACTGACCCTTTGTGCCTCACTTCTAGTACCGGGAATTGAACACAGGGCTCTAAGGCAAGTGCTCTACCACTGAGCCACACCCCAGCCCCTCACTGGGAAATTCTAGGCAGGGGCTCTACCACTGAGCCACACCCCAGCCCCTCACTAGGGATTCTAGGCAGGGGCTCTACCACTGAGCTCTAACTCCAGCACTTTTTTTCCTTTTAAGACATGGGCGTACTAAATTGCTCAGCGTGGTCTTGAACTCACTGGGTAGCCCAAGCAGGTTTTGAACATCTGATCCTCCTAACTCAACCTCTGGAATAGCTGGGATTACAGTTCTATGCCATCAGGCCCAGTTTGTGCCTCATTTTCTGAACTTACACAAATGATAAGCCATTTTGAAATGTTCTCATTCATATATTTATTTATTTAATCCATATTTTCTCCCCCTCCCTCCCTCCCTCTCCTCTCTCCCTCTCTGTCCCTCCCTCCCTCCCTCTCTTCCCTTTCCCCCCCTCGCCCTTCTCCAGTGGCTGACATGGCCAAACTGGCCCAGGAGACCTTGGACTGTGAGGCTGAGCTCCTCTGTGGTGGCCTGGGTGGTCCCAACAGAGGTCGGGTCCTGCAGCACCTCATCACTGGACATCCCTTGCTCATCCCGCATCCCGGGGCCACAGAGGGAGCAGGGTAGGAATGGTGAAGGGTGGGACCCAGGGCCACACACAGTTTGGACCTTAACACCAGCTCCAGCTATGATGAGGATTTCAACCACGAGCCGTGTCAAAAGAAAGGCCACAAGGCCCACTGGGCAGTGACTGCAGGTGCGTCCACCCCACCTCTACCCCATGTGCTGCTCCCAGAGCTCCTACCCACCGTCAACCCTGCTCACACTGTATCACCACTGAAGGGGCTGGCCATGCACTAAGGGTTCGAACAAGAGCTTGGCCCCCCTCTTCCCGATGTGGTAGTTAGCAAAAAGCTCAGCAGGCATCAGGTCCCTCGAGTATCTGCCGATTAGAGTTCCCACAAACAGGCTCAGCACAGACTAGGGGGCAAGGGGATCGAGGCGCGGCCCAGCCTCTTTAGACTCCATAGTTCTGCCTAAGTTTCTTCACCGCTCTGGGCCTGTTGTCCATCTGGAAATTGAGGGGTGTTGGAGGGGCATTAGCTTTTCTTACAGAAGAATTTGAGAGGTTTCTGTGGCTCACGGTCGGGGACAGTTCATGGAAGGGAGGCATGGCGGCTGATGGCTCTACTAGTGACGCAGGAGCTGGAGGTCCAGCCAGTTCTTGGTTGACCAGGAAGCAGAGTGCTCCACCCAGAACCAGAGATTGGACTATAACCCTGCACTTGCAGCCCCACCCCAGTGATCCACTTCCTCCAGCAAGGTCCCCCGACCTCCTAAACGTGGGAGCAGCTCCCGACACAGCACCACCCACTGGAGGCCACAAGTCCCAACACTTAACCCCGAGGGGATAGTGCACATACAGACAGTCATAGAGGCAGCCCTGCCTCCTCTTCGGGCTGCCCGGTGGGCATGTGACGCCTATGGAACACGGGGACACACTGCATGTGTCTGTCGCCAGCACTGTGGCCTCCACAGGTGTATCTGGCCCTGTGTGGGGTCTTTCTGGGGCAGCTGGAGGTGTTGGGGTTCTTCTTCGTCTCAGTGCTGCCCCCACCTTCAGTGTGCATCAGATACCTGAGACTTGGAAGCCAGAGGCCCAGCTTGTACCCACAGAGTCCTAACTGTGGCGGCAAGGCAACACCTGGCCTGGAGGGTCACAGAGGATTCAGGAACCCTGGCACCTAGCTGTAACCCAGGCAACTCACATCCTCTTCCTGTCCCCCAGGGGTCCTGATAGGTGTGCAGACTGTGCCAATCCCTGGCTACATGGAAGACTCTGAGTTGCCAGGCCTCTTCCACCCAGTGCCTGGGGTACCCAACCAACCACCATCCTTCCCAGAGGAGAGCTCCCCAGGTGCCATCTTCCTTCTCTCCAAGCAGGGCAAGAGTTGGCATTACCAGCTGTGGGACTACAACCAAGTCCGGGATAGCAACCTGCAGCTGACAGACTTCTCCCCTGCAAGGGCCGCCGATGGGCGGGTATACGTGGTACCTGCTGGTGGGGTGCAGGCTGGCCTCTGTGGCCAGGTCCTGCTGCTTAGACCACGAGAGTGAGCCATTAGCCGGGGCTGGGGCACCTGCCTTGAACTTCCCTCCATCCCGCTGGAGTGTCTCAGCTTCATCCCTTGTGTGGTGTCTCCAGTCCACCTGTATCTTGAGGACCTCCTGCCAGGACTCTTTCACAGGATCACCCCAGCTGTGCAGTCACAAGCTTAGCCATTGTCCACAGTCTAAATTTATTACTTGCAGGATTAAGCACTCCTTTGGTTAAGGGAAACTTGGTTTTGTGGAGTTTTTGTTTGTTTGCTTGCATGTTTTTTAGAGCATGATCTCTGCCTGGAGGTGATGGCACATACTTCAAAACCCAGCACTCAGAAGGGAGAGGACTGGTTCTCAACCTGTGGATCATGACCCCTTTGGGGGTCAAATGACCCTTTCACAGGGGTTGCCTAAGACCACTGAAAACATATTTACATTATGTTCATAACAGCACAATTACAGTTATGAAGTAACAAAAATAATTGTATGGTTAGTGGTCAGCACGCCATGAGGAACTGTATTAAAGGGTCACAACATTAGGAATATTGAGAACCACTGAGGTGGGGGCAGAGGGAGTCTCTGTGAGTTCAGGATCATCCTGGTTTACATAGCATAGCAGACTCCATGCCAGCCAGGGCTACATAGTGAGACCCTTTCTCAAAAAGCAGAAACAAAACAAAACCAGGGGTCTTATTTGTAGCCCTAGATGACCTAGAATGACCTATGTAGAAGACCACGTTGGCCCTAACCTCACAGAGATCTGCCTGGCTTTGCTTTCTGCGTGATGGGATTAAAGGTGTGTTCCCCCACGCTCAGCCTAGAGCAAGACTCTTGATAGTAACTAAGACCCTAGCAATGTCTTCCCACCCGAATGTGACACCCATTGATCTCTTTGGGGGCATTTTTTTTTTTTTTAAGATGTATTTATTTCCAAGAAACAGAGTGAAACGGTGTATGGGTATATATTATTTAAAAAA